ACAAAGGAATATTACCGCCCCTTCCAATATGGAGTCTCCACCACCCAGGCGTGCATAGGTGCAGGCCAGGAGCTGTAGTCCATGATTGGCTACAGCAGAGTCAAGGAAAAAGCCGCTGATACTGTCAGTATATCACCCCAAAAAAGCTGGAGACGGATCCCCTCCTGATCAGAGTGGTACGGAATGGATGACATGTGTCCGTTTTACATCAGATTAAAGGCCCGCCCCCCATCATTCACAAGCAGGTCCGGCGAAGCGGAACACTTGTTTTTCTGGACCTGGACGGAGCCGGGGGGGGGGGCAGCATGAAAAAAGACGCCTGTCCTTTTAGATCCGGCTGCCTATAGACCTACATTGGGCATGCGATCGGGTCCGCCTGAAAAACTGACATCCGATCGGACCGATCCGTCTGAAAGGGGCCTAAAGGTTTCTGTTGGTAAACCAAGACTTTAGAATATAATTACCGAGTCCGTGTCTGAGTGCTTTATAACAGGAATTCGTTTTTGAGTTACAAATTACAATTGTGATCTGCAAAATAAATAGAAACATTTAATGTAAACGTTATTTATTATATTTACCAATAAAAGAATCAACAATTAAAACATTTTAATCAAAAAAATGTAAAAATAATCAATAGAACAAAATATTATATTTTAATACGTTTCAAAAACAGCAAACTCTTTTTATTTATTTATTTTATTTCCTTTGTGCGCTCTTTTTCGGCTTCCCTCTTCTGTCTCCATTGCATCTTCACCGCTTGTGCGTTCGTCAGTCTTCACCTAGTGAATGTATGTTTTAGTAAGCAGTTTATTAGCAAAGCATTCTTCTACCTGTCAGATATCTATCTATCTAGCTGTCTTGTTTCTCATATAACGCCATTCATTTTTTTAATTTTTTAATTTTGTTACATTATTTCAATCCTATATATGTATATTATATTATATTATATACACATATATGGCAAAAACACGTCATCACTTTATTCAAGAATGACGCCATCGGTGAAAATGGTTTAATTGTTTCAGACCACAATAATGCGCTATAGAGATAGAGGGGATTGTTCCTTTCCAATAAAAAAAAAAAAAGAAATTCAATATATTTCTAATTATTATTAATTTCCAGCCCGGTCCAGAGCTGCGCTACTTGTAGCTTCCCCGCAACACAAATATTCACATTTTCTAAACATTTTCCTGATGCCATTAATGTGGACTGAAATAAGAAAATGACGAAAAGCCCGTTCCTCTATCCCGTATTAATCTAACGCTTCTCTCTTTATTTCCCTTCAAATCCTTTCTCCATTGGCTCCTCCTCATCCTTTCATCCCTATCCATCCCTCTATCATTGGTCCCCCTCCCTCCATTGGCTCCTCCTCGTCCTTTCATCCCTATCCATCCCTCTATCATTGGTTCCCCTCTCTCCATTGGCTCCTCCTCATCCTTTCATCCCTCCATTGGCTCCTCCTCGTCCTTTCATCCCTATCCATCCCTCTATCATTGGTTCCCCTCCCTCCATTGGCTCCTCCTCATCCTTTCATCCCTCTATCATTGGTCCCCCCCCTCCATTGGCTCCTCCTCATCCTTTCATTCCTATCCATCCCTCTATCATTGGTCCCCCTCCCTCCATTGGCTCCTCCTCATCCTTTCATCCCTATCCATCCCTCTATCATTGATCCCCCTCCCTCCATTGGCTCCTCCTCATCCTTTCATCCCTATCCATCCCTTTATCATTGGTTCCCGTCCCTCCATTGGCTCCTCCTCATCCTTTCAACCCTATCCATCTATCCATCCCTCTATCACTGGCTCCCCTCCCTCCATTGGCTCCTCCTCATCCTTTCATCCCTATCCCTCCCTTTATCATTGGTTCCCGTCCCTCCATTGGCTCCTCCTCATCCTTTCAACCCTATCCATCTATCCATCCCTCTATCACTGGCTCCCCTCCCTCCATTGGCTCCTCCTCATCCTTTCATCCCTATCCCTCCCTTTATCATCCCCCCCTCCCTCCGTTGGACCTCTGTAACCCCAACTCTTTAGATCCGGGTGGTGAAAGCATTCCGTAGCTCCCTCTACGAAGGCCTAGAGAAACCCGACTCCAAGCCCTCCATTCACAATTTCATGGCCACCCCTGAGTTTTTGATCAACGATTACATCCACAATATACCCCTCATCGATGACACGGATGCGGAAGATAGCGATGAGCCTCCGGGCAAGGTGCTGTGGTCCATCCCGCCTCCGTCCCCCAACAAGAACAACAATGCCATCGACAGCGGCATCTACTTGACCACGGACACGAGCAAGTCGGCCGCCTCTTCCAATCCGGAAAGTCCTTTGCACAGCGTGGAGACTTCTCTCTAACGGAAAACACCAAACACTCGTCTTCAGCAACCACAAAGGGACAGCAAGACAAACGGAACTCGCGGCTCTTGCTGGTGTGTCAGCGGAGCCGATATTTACAGCCGAAAAAGCTTCGACGTACTTACAAAAAAAACACACACAAAAAATGGTTATCCAAGACCAAAATGTAATAATAATATCCATTTATGTATTTATTTTGGGGGGAAAAAAAAGGTAAAGTATTCATCGGAGGCTACTAAAGCATCTTTCCCGGCAACCCGAGGCGACATTAACAGTTCACGATCCGCAAATCCGGCAAAAGCTTTCAATAAAAAGAAAAGAAGTAAAAAAAAAACAAACAAAAACATTTATTGTGGCGGTGATTTTAGCACCTTGCGGGCAGTATTTGGAATTTGTGACCATCCGCCCTTCGCTCGTCATCCAAAATAGTTAGAAACATAAAAAGGAAAAAGAGAGAGAATACGAGGAACTGTAATAGTTTGGCCTAACCCAGAAGAAGAGAAATGGCAAAGGATACAATATTAGGACCGTCATGTATTTCAGGGGGTGTTCATGAATACCGTATTTGCCGGCGTATAAGGCGACCCCCCTAATTTTCCAGTTGAAACATAGGTTTTTGGGCTATACTCGTCGTATAAGACTACGCCCACTAACCTGTCACCACGCTGGATGTGCGCTAATACTGTATGTACGATAGACATGTGCGATTCGTTTCGTTACGAATCGAAATTCGTACGAATTTTCCTGAAATTCGTAAATTCGGAAGCATCCGAAATCCGAATGGCAGTTTCCGAATTATATCCGAAATACGAAATTCCGTTAACGAATTTCGGATCCGAATTTCTTTGAAACGGGAACTAATATTACCCCTGTAAATGAGGTTGAACAGCATGACAAGATTTTTTTTTAATCCGAGATACGGATCCGCTGCTGCTGATGCATTACAATACACAGGCAGGAAATACGAAATTCCGTTGACGTATTTTCGTTCCGTTACGAACATTCGTTATATTAAAGTTAAAAAGCAAAGTACATTTATATTGGAGTTGATGGTAGTTTTTTTTTTAAAGTCCGAAATACGGAATTCGGAATACGGAATCCGTTAACGGAATTCGTATTTTGGATAAAAAAACAACTACCACTCCAATGTTAACAAAGGTATTTTGCTTTTTAACTTCATCATAACGAATGTTCGTAAAGTTCCGAAAATATAACCGCCACTAACGAAAATTCGTATTTCGTACGAATCCGAATCCGAATTGAGTTTGGATTACGAAATACGAAATAACGGATATTCCGAAACGAAACAGAACAAATTTTTTGACGGCGCACAAGTCTAATGTACGATAGCTTCGGCTACAGTATACCGCGCTGAGCCAATCACAGAAAGCGATGTATGCGGTATACTGTACGTAGCTTCGGCTACAGTATACTGCGCTGAGCCAATCACGGCGAGCGATGTACGCGGTATACTGTACGTAGCTTCGGCTACAGTATACTGCGCTGAGCCAATCACGGCGAGCGATGTACACGGTATACTGTACGTAGCTTCGGCTACAGTAAACCGCGCTAAGCCAATCACGGAAAGCCATGTACGCGGTATACTGTATGTAGCTTCGGCTACAGTATACTGCGCTGAGCCAATCACGGCGAGCGATGTACGCGGTATACTGTACGTAGCTTCGGCTACAGTATACCGCGCTGAGCCAATCACGGCGAGCGATGTATTCTATTAATGAATACAAAGCCTGCTCAGATTTGGCAGAGGTTGTGTACATCGCTCGCCGTGATTGGCTTAGCGCGGTATACTGTAGCCGAAGCTTCCGTACATACAGTAATAGCGCACATCCAGCGGGCTGACAGATTTTGTATACCTGGCGTATAAGACGACCCCCGATTTTTCGGGGGATGTTTTTCAGTATAAAAAGTCGTCGTATACGCCGGCAAATACGGTAACTTGCACATGTACATGTAGTCATCTATAAAAGGGAGATAGATAGAAAGTCCCCCCCGCACTCCCCACAGCGCTCCCGGCCTATGCAACAGTGGTGGTCGCAGTGATGACCACGGATGGCGCCGTGCAGACACAAGGCAGAATACAGGAATCACCGGCACTCGGTAATATAATTAAACATGTCCACTTATTTGGAGAAATCGTCACAGTGAAAAAAAGCCAACGTTTCGGGGGCCACACAGGGTCCCTTCATCAGGGCGAGAATGTGACAACACACGCATATTGAAGAACCACATATATAAACCCCTTAGGAAGTTACCAATTACATTCAAAGTACCTCCCCCGTGACATCATCATGGCTGGAAATTGGTAACTTCCTAAGGGGTTTATATATGTTGTTCTTCAAAATGCGTGTGTTGTCACATTTTCTCGCACTGATGAAGGGACCCTGTGTGGCCCCCGAAACGTTGGCTTTTTTTCACTGTGACGATTTCTCCAAATAAATGGACATGTTTAATCATATTACCGAGTGCCGGTGATTCCTGTTTTCTGCCATATATAAAAGGGAAACATTGTAAGAATTGTTAAAAAGAAATAAAAAATTAGTTATCAGTGGCGAGCCGAACCAGAGGATAGTCCCGTTATATTCCAGAATGTCAATGGCGAGCCGAATCAGAAGCTAGTCCCATTATATTCCAGAATATCAATGGCGAACCGAACCAGAGGATAGTCCCGTTATATTCCAGAATATCAATGGCGAGCCGAACCAGAGGATAGCCCCATTATATTCCAGAATATCAATGGCGAGCCTAACCAGAGGATAGTCCCGTTATATTCCAGAATATCAATGGCGAGCCGAACCAGAGGATAGTCCCGTTATATTCCAGAATATCAATGGCGAGCCGAACCAGAGGATAGTCCCGTTATATTACAGAATATCAATGGCGAGGCGAACCAGAAGCTAGTCCTGTTATATTCCAGAATATCAATGGTGAGCCGAACCACAGGATAGTCCCGTTATATTCCAGAATATCAATGGCGAGCCTAAACCAGAAGCTAGTCCCGTTACATTCCAGAATATCAATGGCGAGCCGAACCAGAGGATAGTCCCGTTATATTCCAGAATATCAATGGCGAGCCTAAACCAGAGGATAGTCCCGTTATATTCCAGAATATCAATGGCGAGCCGAACCAGAAGCTAGTCCTGTTATATTCCAGAATATCAATGGCGAGGCGAACCAGAAGCTAGTCCCGTTATATTTCAGAATATCAATGGCGAGCCGAACCAGAGGATAGTCCCGTTATATTCCAGAATATCAATGGCGAGGCGAACCAGAAGCTAGTCCCGTTATATTCCAGAATATCAATGGCGAGGCGAACCAGAAGCTAGTCCCGTTATATTCCAGAATATCAATGGCGAGCCGAAGGAGGAGGATAGTCTTTTATTATTATTATATCCCCAAAAAGGGCTTTTCAGCTTTGAATAAAGAATGCAGCGAAAGTATCTGGGCGGCGCCATTTTTACGTTGCGTTACGCTGAGCGATCATGAAGAAATAAAAACACAAGTTCCCCATCAAAAAATAAAATTGTTGGGTGACCTAATTATGAACTTCATCTATAAAACTATAACGACACCTACAGCGCGGAAGCGACGACACTTCACAAGCAATCGACATTCACTTTTATTTATTGATCATTATGCATAAAAAAAACAGCATGAAATAATAACCTTTAGTCAAAATGTAGGTAAAAAACAAAAAAAAAAAAAGTAAAAATTAAAATAAAATCATAAAACTAACGCCGTACAGTGCACGATATTGACATTGACATTTTTTTTTTCATACTAGAACCAGACCATTTTGTCTTAAGAAATAGCTCGACCTGTTCCTGTTTAATCCTATGTCTCTGCATGAGTAGCCTAACTTTATTTGGTAAGAGAGAAGGGTGTCACAATTACTGCCACAGTCACATGACACTCCCCCCCCCCCAATAAAAATACTTATATGTGTGTGTATATATATATAATGGAAAATTGTATACTTACCTATCTGTAATTTTCCTTTCCTGACGCCATACATGGCAGCATACAAAGGGTGTAGCCCTGCCCCCAGCCGACCGTACGCTGCCATGTGGGTGTCAGGTAAACTGAAAATTGTATACTTACCTATTGGTAATTGTCCTTTCCTGACGCCAGTACATGGCAGCATATGAAGGACCCTCCCATGGCTTTCGCATTGAGCGCTCGTTACGAACATGGTGGCCTTGGGAGGCGGGCTTCAATTTATAGTATAACTGGTCCTGTGATTGGGCTGGGGGCGGGGGCCACACCCATCGTATGCTGCCATGTGGGTGTCAGGAAAACGGATAATTGTATACTTTCCTGGCGCCAATACATGGCAGCATACAGGACCCCCCCTGTATGGGCTGGGGGCGGAGCCACACTAATCGTATGCTGCCATGTGGGTGTCAGGAAATTATATATATATATATATATATGTGTGGTTGACAGGATAGTGCCTTGTCACTATGGTAATTGCTGAGTTTGGCACCCAGGACTCTCGGCCAGAGGGGCTGAGAGGGTCCTGGGTGCCAAACTCAGCAGTTACCATAGTGATACGGCACTATCCTGTCACACATATATATACTGTATATATATAGATATATATGGATATAAAATGAACTAAATCAAACCTAACGAAGATAACGTATGTACGTAAGCAACGCTGGAGCCGGTTGATCATGGATTGCCACACACAATCCATGAGCGGAACCGTAAACCTTCCCGCCCAAATACTCTTACAGAATTTCCCACGAAGCGAATCATTGGATGGTGGACTGTTAATGGGTTTGAGATGAAAGTGGACTCGTTCTATATACAAGCAAAGGGGAACGCCTCCGATCCCTCTTCCTTTTTTTTTTTCTTTCTTTAATTTGAAGGGATGATGCCGATGAAATTACCTTATATATCACATTTCCATTAACTACAAGCCATGCGAAATCCTGCGTAATGAATCTTAAATGCCGACTTTCTTTTTGTTTGTTTTTTCCCCCTCCCCCTCTCTGCTCTGTGGGCATTGCACACAAAAAAAGAGTTCAATTCACAGTTGCGAAAACCGACGCAAGGTGAATTTTAAAAACAATTCTTGTGAGGGCAAAACTTACACAAAGCGAGTTAATTACAAAATCGTTAAGTGGATTGAGAAATAAAAAAAATCACGACCGATTCTTTTCCTTTTAATTTATTTATTTGGACATCTGTGTAATGCCCAGCGGTGACACTCAGAACTACCAGCTCCAGATGGTTTAAGCCATGACTTTATGTTGAAAGATCGCAGCGAATAATCTGCTGAAATAGAATTTAAAAAAAAACAAAACAAAAAAAATTTGAAAAAAAAAAAAAGAGAAAAAACAAAGTAAAAAGATGCAACTTTGTTTCTTTCAGCATACGAGTGTAACAAAACAAAACAAAAAAGAAAGTGGTGTTTAATTTGAACTTATACAATGTGTAATATTATCGTTCATTTGCAGGCTTCTTTTCATTCAATATTGTAGATATATTGATAGAACAAAAAAAACAACAAAAAAAACGATACAAAGAATTATATATTTAAAAGCCAAAAAAATATGATTAAAAAACCACAAAAAAAAATGTATGAAAAAAAGCCAATACCGCTGTATAAATATCTGCCAAATGTAAGCGTGCTTTGCTTATTATTTTATTGGGTTGGGGGTGGTAGGCGCGGGTTGGGAGCAGTGCAATACGTCCACGCTGTCTTTTATTTTTCTTCTTTTTTTTTTTTTTTTTTAAATAAAGCAAAACTGCTTGTACATTATTCGGGGGGGAAGGGCTTAAAAACTCATATTGGGAAGCCTCCCTCGAAGCATATACTGTATTGAATGGCTGATTTTTGTTCAAACTGCTTACATAATGTTAAAAATTTTACCTGCCTGTTATACAAATAAACAAAAAAACAAACAACAAAACATTATATAGGAAAGACGACACCCTTGTATGGAATCAACAAAGTCTGTATCGCAAATTTCAACATTTCAATAGGCAAAAAAAAATAATACAAAATCAAAAAAAATACTTTGTATAAAAAAAACCCCCAAAAATAATACGAAACTATTCTACAAGCCGAGTTCTGATGGCGCGCGTTTTGTTCATTGAATGGAAATCTGCCAGCGGATCATCCGAACTGAGAGGGAAGCTTCTCACTCCACATTACAGCAGCGCTTCTCAGTAGACACATGTGCACTGGCAAAAAATTAGTTTACTTTCGTTTAGTTTTGATTCGGATTTTGTGTTATTTCGTTTTTCGGGATTCGGGTGTGAAAGTCAATTCGGACGAAATTCGTTAGCGGTAGTTCGTTAGAACGTTCGTTTCGTTCATTCGTTGCAGCAAAGTGAGATTTGAGGGGGGAAACATTTTTTTCTCTTTGCTGCAACGAACGAAACAAAGAAGAAAAGAAAATGATACGAACTTTCGAACAAACTACCGCTAATGAATTCCGGAAGCGGAAATTCGGATTCGTTCGCATTCGTAACGAAACAAATCACACATGTCTAGTTCTCAACCCCCAGTGGAGCGCTGGACTCCAGAATCAGTAAGGCGCTGGACTCCAGAATCAGTAAGGCGCTGGACTCCAGAATTAGTAAGGAGCTGGACTCCAGAATCAGTAAGGCGCTGGACTCCAGTGGCTCAGTGGTTAGTCGTACAGCACTGGGGGGTCTCCGATTCAAATCCTGGTCAGGACACCAGCTGCATGGGGTTTGCATGTTCTTCCTGTGCGGGTTTCTTCCAGAGACCTCCTAGATTCAGAGGAAGCCGACATTGAAGACGCAAGGACAAAGTGCCCCGGGCACTATAGCGGGGGGGCTATTGCAGCGTCGGCTTCAGGCCCACCACTAAAAAATAGGCCCGGATTGCCTCAGTATGCCCAATGGCAATCCGGGCTGAGGCATCAGGCACATTAGGTGGCCACTCGCCTCGTGGGGCCCCAGCAAGGAGCGAGCGGTTCGCCTAATGAGAGAGCTGCCTCTGCTGCTTCTCGCCCGACAGCACCAGGCCCACGATGCGGTTAGTCCGGCCCCCGACTATAAGGAGTGAAATACTGTAGCAAGCAGTAGAAACGCGTGTTACTGCACAAATATGAAGTTGGCCTTCAATGCTAGTGACCGCAAAATAAACAACAGAGCTTCATCGGGAATGGGCTTCTGGCTGATTCTTATGGCTCATAACATAGGAGGGGTGCCGGGGAGGGAAGGCGGAGGTTGGGCTGCAAGGGTATGAATCTGAAGCATTTTATCGCACCATGCCCTTGAAGCGCATTGCCGGATTACTTGCACAGTGACTCAGTGGGTAGCACTTCTGCCTGTCAACACTGGGGGGGAGGGCCCCCGGTTCGAATCCCAGTCAAGACACTATCTGCAAAGAGTTTGCATGTACTTCCTGTGCTGGTGTGGGTTTCTTCCAAGGGACTCTACAGACCTCATAGACTCAGAGGAAGCACATCGACGATGTAAAGACAAAGTGCAGTGGAAATAGAGCCGGACTAAAATAAAGGGCTACGTCAGCATCACGGCATGTCCAATGGCTGCACAGTGACTCAGTGGGTAGCACTACTGTTGTGCAGCACTGGGGGCCCCCGGTTCGAATCCCAGTCAAGACACTATGTGTTTGTCCTTCCTGTGCTGGTGTCACTAAGACATGCGTGGGTGGTTACTAAGCCCTGTATACATGTGAGATGGGGAGCTTAGACTCGCCTTGAGGGCGGGGACTGATGTGAATGTTCTGCATGTTAAGCTAAGTTTACCAGATTAAATCCAAGCACACCCTACTGACCATGCCCCACCCCCCACTTGTAGCCACACCCCCACATATAGCCACACCCACAGAATCACACCCCTATTTTTAGTACGCAGTAAATGCAAGGTCCGCTTACGCTCTCCGCGCCACGCCCCGTCCCCATTTTATCCCTTTCCCTGGCCATGTAGATGACCTAAACCCCCGCCCCCCCCCCACCGAAAACATTCATTTTCTAAAAGCAGAGACCCCCGCAGTATAAAACAGTTGCAATTTTTTTTTTTTAAAGTCCTTCTACATTTCTACATTATCAAAACTTTATTTTCAGTAAAAAGAACAACAAAAAAACACTCAAATAAATGTTACGTGTACACAACACCCAAATGTAAAAGAGGAGATTGTGTCGAGTAGATAGGTAACCCCCCTGGCAGCGATGCTCCCCACTGCTCGGGGTTTCCTTTAACCCCTTGCTGACCGCGGTGTTACACCCCCTTCCTGTCCCGGCCGTTGTTCAGCATTCAGCGCTGCGATACTTTGACATTTATTCCGTCATACAACGCTGCACTGATATGAATTTTATACCATTTTTTGGGGGGCAGACAGAGCTTTCTTTTGGTGGTATTTAATCACCACTGAGGGGGGAGGGGGGGTGTTTATTTTTTACTATATGAAGGAAAAATTACTGAAAATTTTGAAAACTAGTTTTTTTTGCATTATGTTAGGAAACATTTATTATTACCCAATTAATAAAATCCCCCTATGTGATAGCAAAGATATGCGACAGGTCCTCTTTATGAAGACATCAGGGGTCTCCAAGACCCCTAATGTCACCTAGGGACCCCCCCTGAAGAAGCAGAGATCTGCTTCTTCAGCTTCTCTCCAGCGTCTGAAGCTGGAGAGCGACACGAGAATGCGGAAGTGATGTAATATACGTCACTTCCGCATTCTGACACCGGAGGGAGATCGTGTAACGACCCCCCTCCGGTCCCTGTCACCTAGGACCCCCCTGAAGAAGCGAGGGGGCGTGGCCGAGCTGCCGTTTACAACGCCCGGGAGGTGATTAAAGGCCATTTCAAACCAGCTTCCCATTCCAGTTGTAATGCACCTTCTATTCATTCCAAGTGACCTCACAAAACCTTTTATTTAAAGACAAAAAATTGTAACAAATGGAAAGCTGGACAACCCAGTAAATGCTCCAAAAATTCTGAAGGCCGAAATCCAAACATTTGACAGCGTTCCGGCACTCTGTAACAAGCCGAGGTCGCAGGGCAACAGTCGGAAAGCCCATTGAGAGAGAGAGAGAAGGTTGCTCGGGTCACAACGACTGAACCCAGGACCGGCCATCGCAGGAATGATGATCGGGAAGAAGCTGCTGAAACAAATTTCTGCCACAAACAGCCCCCTTGTCTCCAGATAGTTCAGGTCCTTGCCACCAGTGTGGTCACGGTATTTCGGTGTCCATGGTATAAACGTTCACCAGTTCAGATATGATGTTGTTGATGATCGTTCTGGTTATATCTTCACTAAAAACCTAAAAAAAAGTCCAAGGAAAAAAAAAAGGTTTATAGGCGCCGAGGTTTCTGAACCTGCCTGACTTTTTAGGAGTTAAAGGAGAACTATGAGGTCAGTGTTTTTCCCCATAGTTCTCCTTTGGGTAACGGGAGGACACAAACTAGCATCCTCCCGTCACCCTAGGCTCAGTTTATAGAGAGCTACAGCTCGCGGTATACTGAGACGACGCAGCCGGAGCGGATCCCGACATTGCTGTCTGGATCCATCCAGCTGCCCCTGCCTATCTAGAGGCTGTACCCGCCCCCTCCCCCGTCCGTTCCGCCAGTCAGCGCTGGAGGATCGGAGAGGGAATCCCTGCAGGGAGCCGTGACAGTCACCACTCTCTGCAGGGAGATGATCGAGAAGTGAGCGAGCGCCGGTATGTGTTCCCTCACTTCCAGATCTATTGAGCCGACCTGTGACAGTCTCATTGTCACACGTGTAATAAATGCAATTCCTTAAAAGGAGAAGTACGAGGTCAGGGCTTTTCCCCATAGTTCTCCTCAGGGTAACGGGAGGACACAAACTAGCGTCCTCCCGTCACCCTAGGCTCAGTATATAGGGAGCTACAGCTCGCGGTATACTGAGACGCCGCAGCTGAAGCGGATCCCGACAATTGTGCCGGGATCCGCCCAGCTGTGTGACTGACAGCTGGCTCCTCCTATCTAGAGGCAGAGCCAGCTGCACCCGCCCCCCGTCCGTTCCGCCAGTAAGGTTTGGAGGATTGGACAGGGGAGGGGGGAATCCAGCCCCTCCCCTGTCACTGCAGTGACAGGATCGAGGAGTGAGCTCACCTCCCGATCTACTGAGCCGACCTGTGACATTCTCATTAGCGTAACCTCACTTCCTTTCTATTGTGTCCGCCATCCATGCCGGAACGCGGCGACACCGGTGCGAGTCAATCGTCGGCACGGGCCGCTTACCTTCCACCACTGGTTCTCCGCACCCTCGTTGCCCGGGACCTCCAACCCGTAGCACTGCAGAGCAAAGTATAACATGGCTACGGCGATATGCTGGGCCTCGTAGCGCAGGCAAATGTCCCCGTGGTAGCTGTCCCGGAGGAGGGCCCAGGAGGCCGTGGCAATGGGGTTGCGCTCCCAGCTGTGCCGGTTCATCCAGTTCTTTAGGGAGACCAGGTAATGCAGCAAATACTGAAAGTGAGATGAGACGACGTTAGTAATGCGCTTCTGTGTTAAACCTTCGATGCAGCTGAAAGTCAATGAGTTTGGATTGAATCTTCTTACGGAGGCCACTGATGAGGATTTGGGTACAAACGCCTCTCAAGAGGGAAAAACTCAACTCTGTTGGCCAAGAACAGGCAGGCTGAAGGCGAAGGCCTAGTCGCCGGTATTGCCTGTGGTCTCCCTGTAGCTGATTTTTTCCCCATTACCGACTTCCCATGAATTGATCTGCACTGTCTCAGTGTGTAGGCGGCCATCTTGGTAGAGGCATGGCTTTGCTACCTCATGTTGGAACCTCCAGCAAGGAAAACAATGACCGGCACAGTAGTGACATCATGAAATCCCACTCCTAATCGCCCTAGGGTAGCAGTCAGAGGGTAAAGGACCACACTATGCCTTGTCCAGCACTGTCTCAGTGTGTAGGCGGCCATCTTGGTAGAGGCATGGCTTTGCTACCTCATGTTGGAACCTCCAGCAAGGAAAACAATGACCGGCACAGTAGTGACATCATGAAATCCCATTTAAAATCGCCCTAGGGTAGCAGTCAGAGGCTAAAGGACTAGTCGCTGGTACTGCCTGTGGTCTCCCTGCAGCCGATTTCTCTCCATTACTAACGCACTATGACTTGTCCTGCGCGGTCTCAGTGTGGAGGCGGCCATCTTGGTCGAGGCAGGGCTTCGCTTCATCATGTCAGAGCCTCCAGCAAGGAAAACAGTGACCAGCACAGTAGTGAAGTCATGAACTCCCACTCCAAATCGCCCTAGGATAGCAGTCAGAGGCAGGGGCGTCCCAGGCTGGGTGACACCCGGAGCGGCAACCGAGTGTCACCCCGCCGAGACGTCACTGCGCATGCGCGGCAGTATTCCGATACCTGCCGGCGGCCATCTTGGTGATGGACTGCGGCAGAGAGAGGAGGGGACAGTCACCTGGCGGGATTGGGGGGGGTGACAACAAAATGACTAAGTCATTTTGGTGTCACCCCTCCAATGGTGGTGGCACCCGGGCCGCACCCCCCGCGTGACGCCACTGGTCAGAGGGTAAAGGACTAGTCGCTGGTACTGCCTGTGGTCTCCCTGCAGCTGATTTTTCTCCACTACTAACTCAGTATGAGGAGGAGGATCGATCGCTGGTGATCTAGGGGCGATTAGTACGGTCTGCTGCAGACATCACTAATCACTCCCAGATAACCCGGGATCGATCCTCCTCACATACATACTTTCCTTCGGCCGGAGCTCAGAACTGTCAGAGTTCCGGCCGAAGGAAGCCGGGGCTGCTCTGCGGTCTGCATCCGACACAGATGCCGACCGTGGAGCTTCTCCCGCAAGCCAGGTACGCGATCTGCGACGGCGTGCCTGACATATCAGCTGGCTGCGGGCCACACAGTACCAGCTCGCGGGCCGGAGTTGTCCCGCGGACCGGTACTTGGAGACCCAAATTTCCACTCGCCCTCACTTTATTTTTTACTCGCCAAAAGCGAGCAGGCCAGTGGAAATTTTGAGCCCTGACAGACTATTAGTGTCCATCTTGTTTGCCATTCGCTGTGTAACATATTCCATAGGCGTGTATAGAGAGAATAATGAGCCTTACTACAGTGGCAACGCATGCCTCGCTCCATACCGAGAGCGAACCACCACAGAGATAAACCTCCCTTTGTGTGCATCTTCGAACACTCTGTACTCATTTACTGAACGTCAGGCAGTCACTTTGTCATTGTTACACGCAGGGGGCGTAACTAGAAATCACAGGGCCCCATAGCAAAATTTTCTATGGGGCCCCGTGATTGTTAGTTATGCCACTTGCAGAGCCCACCTGAGATCCCACGCAGCCCACCTGAGAGTGACCCTGCAGAGCCCACCATAGACTCTCCATGGTGGTCTCTGCAAGGTCTCAGTTGCGCTGTACGCCTCTTACCCGTCACCTCCGTGGTCGCCGCCGCCTGGCCCCTGCCTCAGTTCCCGGGCTCCGCCTCCTATCGACGGGCCCTGCCTCCTCTTATATCACTGGCCCCACCTGCTCTTAGATTGCTGGCCAGTGATGTGAGAGGAGGCGGGGTTGCCGTTAGATGGGCCCCGCCTCCTTTACTGAAAACGGCCTATTCTGCTGGCTGTCACAGCTCCGCAGCGGCTGCGAGGGGGGGGGAACGTTCTCCTTCACAGCAGCTGCTGAGCTGCGTCAGTGACAGCCAGCACCCGAGACGCCATAGCGACCCACACGACATCAGAGGGATGCTGGGCCCCCCTGTGCACGGGACCCATAGCGGCCGCCTGGGTCGCTATGGCGATTGTTACGCCACTGGTTACACGCGCAGGCACGCCAAATCACGCTCCCATTGTGCCGCTGCACATAACGCGCCGTTCCCGAGCCACTCACTTTGTGCGGATGGTGAAAGGAGACCCGGAAATGTAGCAGCCTCAGCACCAGCAATTCACACTGCACAATGCTGTCCCGCAGCTCCCAAAACCTGGTGTCCAATTCCAGCGGCTCGCTCCC